TTGAATCAGTTGTATGAGATTGTTGAATCAGTTGGATGAGATTGTTGAATCAGTTGGATGAGATTGTTGAATCAGTTGGATGAGATTGTTGAATCAGTTGGATGAGATTGTTGAATCAGTTGGATGAGATTGTTGAATCAGTTGGATGAGATTGTTGAATCAGTTGGATGAGATTGTTGAATCAGTTGGATGAGATTGTTGAATCAGTTGGATGAGATTGTTGAATCAGTTGGATGAGATTGTTGTATCAGTTGGATGAGATTGTTGAATCAGTTGGATGAGATTGTTGAATCAGTTGGATGAGATTGTTGAATCAGTTGGATGAGATTGTTGTATCAGTTGGATGAGATTGTTGAATCAGTTGGATGAGATTGTTGAATCAGTTGGATGAGATTGTTGAATCAGTTGGATGAGATTGTTGTATCAGTTGGATGAGATTGTTGAATCAGTTGGATGAGATTGTTGAATCAGCTGGATGAGATTGTTGAATCAGTTGGATGAGATTGTTGAATCAGTTGTATGAGATTGTTGAATCAGTTGCAGATTATACAAATACTTCTTCAACATCACATCAAGTAAATACAATAGCTTCTTCCAAATCTACTCAAATATCTGCTCGTTGAAGTATCTGGACGTCTAACTTCTAGACCGACTAAGTGAACTACTACAACAGTTGAGGTATATGGATGTCTTACTTCTAGACCATTCAACTACACCAGTTGATGTATCTGGGCGTCTTACTTGTAAACCATTTAAATAAACCAGTTGAAGTATATTCACAGATCAAACTTCTAGGCTTAAAGAAATAAATTAAAGTAATTCTCAAATCAACAACTTGAAATATTTAGTTCAAATTCCTTGCCCCCAAATACTAAAATTAAAATAGGAACTCCTGTACGATAAATAAAATGAGACGAATTTCAATTGTTGAGGTTTCCAAAGTATTTATTATTATAAAATCATTATAAGATGATGAAATTATAATTGCATAAATAATGTAAAAGTACAATTGAAAATTTTATATAGATGTATATCTGAACAAAAGTATATAGATAAAAATATATGAAAATTTAATTTTAAACGTGACTCTAAGATATGAAAAGCTGATATTCGATTTCTGCTGGGAAAGATATCAGACAGTTGGTCCATAATGCATCAGTAGTTGGTCCATAATGCATCAGTGGTTGGTCCATAATGCATCAGTAGTTACTGTTGAACGTGGAGCGTGTGAGCCATAGAATCAACCGTGTTGTGCAACACCAATCAAATTTGATTTTTAATTATAGTCAACCAATCGTTTTTGTTTTTATTTCACCCATAAGACTAATAGGGAAACGTTCAACTGGTGGGCAGAAAGATTGGATACAAACTTCATTCAAATTGATGGACATCGACCAGAATTCATGGGAATACTTGCTATATATCGTGCACGCTGGAGAGGCAGTCTCGCTGTTTGAGAACAATCAAGATTTTTAGTGATACAGTCTCACTGTTGGAGCACAGTTAAGTTTTTTGGTGATACAGGCAGTCTCACAGTTTAAGCACAATCAAGGTTTTTAGTGATACAGACAGTCTTACTGTTGGAGCACAATCAAGGTTTTTAGTGATACAGACAGTCTTACTGTTGGAGCACAATCAAGGTTTTTAGTGATACAGACAGTCTGACTATTGGAGCACAATCAAGGTTTTTAGTGATACAGACAGTCTGACTATTGGAGCACAGTTAAGTTTTTTGGTGATACAGGCAGTCTCACTGTTTAAGCACAATCAAGGTTTTTAGTGATACAGGCAGTCTCACTGTTGGAGCACAATCAAGGTTTTTAGTGATACAGAGAGTATCACTGTTTGAGCACAGTTCAAGTTTTTTGGTGATACAGGCAGTCTCACTGTTGGAGCACAATTGAGAATTTTAGTGATCCAGGCAGTCTCACTGTCGGAGCAAAATTTAGGATTTTAGTGATACAGGCAGTCTCACTGTTGGAGCACAATTATAATTGAGGATATTAGTGATACATGTAGTCTCACTGTTGGAGCACAATTGATGTTTTTGGTGATACAGGCTGTCTCGCTGTTGAGCACAATTCTCTACTGTCATGGGTGCCTCCCTTTGCTATCAATCATGAATGCCTTCCTCTATTGCCATGAAGGCCTTTCCTCTGCTGTCATGGATGCCTTCCTCTACTGTCACGAATGCCTTCCTCTATTGCCATGGATGCCTTCCTCTACTGTCATGGATGCCTTCCTTTAATGTCAATCATGGATACCCTGGGGTTCCTGTTGTCAACTGCCAAGACTTTGTTAAATCGTTTTTACTTGTTACTTTGTCTTCTGCGGTCAACTGCTAAGATCTACTACAAGCTGACCTCCGCGGTTCTCGTGATGAAATCTGAAACAGATAAATTATAAATTTATAATAGGTTTAGAATGCGCAATTGAAACGATTACATTCCATCTCAGCATACAGTTGATGATATGTACATAATTCCGTATCCGGAACTTTGATCAAAAGAAATTTCGTCGACGATAAATTGATCGACGTTCATTTGATCGAACGGAAATTTGGCAGAAACTTTTTTTTTCTTCAGTTTTTATGTTAAAGTTTTGCTTCAAATTTCAGTTTGACCGCGTTATTTTGTTTTACCATATAGTAGGGTGCGTTCAAAAATAAATTTGACAAAAATTTTAACGTGTGAACTGAAAAAAAGATTCGGCCAAATTTCCGTTCGATCAAATTACCGTCGATCGATTTACCGTCGACTAAATTTCTTTCGATCAAATTTCCGGTAACCACATCATTCACACAGCAAAACAAAGGTTAACAGTTGCAACAAAAAAAGTGCTCATTTGAAATATTTAAGACCCCCCTCCCCTGAAACATGATGGCCGTATCACGAGGGTTAAAGGTCAAGACATTACATCACAACTACTACAAGTGAAAGATGCAAAGAAAAGGAAATAGTGTTTAAACGAAATGCCTTTAGTTTGGACTTGAGTAATGGTGTGTACATGTGAATGGTGTGTACATGAATGGTGTGTACGTGAACGGTGTGTACATGAGTGGTGTGTACGTGAATGGTGTGTACATGAATGGTGTGTACATGAATGGTGTGTACGTGAATGGTGTGTACATGAGTGGTGTGTACGTGAATGGTGTGTGCATGATTGAATTGTACAATATATTTTATATCTTGTGTGTCGTTTTTTGCTATTTAAAAAAATATTAAAAACTTTAATAAGGCCAACAATCTTCAACCCGCATCATGTCATTGTTTGACATGACACATTCAGTCATGTTCAACCCGATTCATGTCAGTGTTTGACATGACACATTCAGCCACCTTCAACCCACTCCATGTCACTGTTTGACGTGACAGGTCCAGCCACCTTCAACCCACTCCATGTCAGTGTTTAACGTGACAGGTCCAGCCACCTTCAACCCACTCCATGTCAGTGTTTGACGTGACAGGTCCAGCCACCTTCAACCCACTCCATGTCAGTGTTTGACGTGACAGGTCCAGCCACCTTCAACCCACTCCATGTCAGTGTTTGACGTGACAGGTCCAGCCATCTTCAACCCCATAGTATAAATGTATTGAGAGGGTCAACAACCTTCAACCCTTAAGCATAGATATATTGTGAGATCGCGTTAAGAAACTAATAGACTTACTTTAATTTCTTCCCATTAAGATAGTTTTCGACATTTGGCTTGAGAACAGGAACTCCATCTTTGCTATGACGGCCCCTGCCAGGGATGACATTGACGAACCGACTTCCTCCATGTGCCAGATAATCTGTCAACAAGTAGAAGGAGAATGACGTCACTAAATGTAATGGATCTTATTTACATGGCACGAATAGAAGTGGCTTAAACGCAAGCGTTCACCAGTAGGCCCCACACTATGACGTTATGGACAGTGACGTAGCCAATGGTTTGAACACAGTTCACCAGTAGGCCCCACACTATGACGTTATGGACAGTGACGTAGCCAATGGTTTGAACACAGTTCACCAGTAGGCCACAATCTATGACGTTATGGACAGTGACGTAGCCAATGGTTTGAACACAGTTCACCAGTAGGCCACAATCTATGACGTTATGGACAGTGACGTAGCCAATGGTTTGAACACAGTTCACCAGTAGGCCACAATATATGACGTCATGGACAGTGACGTAACCAATGGTTTGAACACAGTTCACCAATAGGCCAGACACTACGACTTTACAGACAGGGGCGTAGCAGCGTGATTTGGACACATGAGTTCACCAACTCTGTTCATCTAAAAATGCTGCAACAATGTACGACTTAACAGACAAAGGCGTAACCCAGTGGGTTGTATGGCGCTTAACTACCCCACTCTGTGCCCGCGTCAAGAAAACCATGTCAACATTGACTGTCCTAAAGTTATGCATGAAACATCGACCAACTTCCATAACTTACAACTAAACCACTTCTAACATTCTTGAAAGAGCAAAGTTTTAACTAATTATCTAGATTTAAATTTGTATTACTATATTTTACAGTTTTAGTATTGAAATTTTTGTCTTACAATGTTTGAATGTAATCTTCTGCACCATGTCTTATAATGTTATGTTTGAATGTAACCTTCTGTACCATGTCTTATAATGTTAAGTTTGAATGTAATCTTCTGTACCGTGTCTTACAATGTTATGTTTGAATGTAATCTTCTGTACCGTGTCTTACAATGTTATGTTTGAATGTAACCTTCTGTACCGTGTCTTACAATGTTATGTTTGAATGTAACCTTCTGTACCGTGTCTTAAAATGTTATGTTTGAATGTAACCTTCTGTACCGTGTCTTACAATGTTATGTTTGAATGTAACCTTCTGTACCGTGTCTTACAATGTTATGTTTGAATGTAACCTTCTGTACCGTGTCTTACAATGTTATGTTTGAATGTAACCTTCTGTACCGTGTCTTACAATGTTATGTTTGAATGTAATCTTTTGTACCGTATCTTACAATGTTTCAATCTAATCTCATTTACCTTTTTTAGATGTTGTAATAAAAGTCCTTGTTGCTTGCATGGCCTCCTTGAGTTTTTTGCCATGGAGGTCAAGGGTTGGATTCCAGACACTGGGACTCTGGGTGTCTCTGGCATCGGTTGTATCAACATGGTATTTGGGAGTATCGGACTGAAGTTCAACCTTTAAAAAAGGAGGCGAATAGTTGAAAGAAATATCATGATATTCAAAGGAGCCACTAATAGATATTGTGCACAATGAGCTATCCAACTTAAACAAATGTTGTATACTTACATCAGTTATCTTTTCTTTGCGCTGACGACGGCACTGAAAAAAAACAAAAACGAAATTGTTTGCTGAAAATACAATTTGAATTTGATCTCATTCAAGTATTGTAAACAATTGTTTAAATTTTCAAAATACCATTAGACTTACATTTTATTCAATTATGGTAAAAAAAAAATTGTTTCATTTCTTAAAATACAAAGATCTGTCACTGTTTAGAGTCAAATGTTGATTACGAATCTTTTGTTATGTAGGCCTAAAAAAGAAACACTACTTAAAATATGGTGATTTATTTTGTATTTCATATGTGTGTGGGGTGTGAGTGTGTGTGTGTGTGTGGGTGTGGGTGTGGGTGTGTGTGATCACTAAAAAAAAAAAAAGTTTTGATCGATACATTTTTTTAACGTAAGAATAAAGATGAGTTCAAAGAACTGAATTGTAAAAAAAAAAAAAAAAGATGATGTGTTCGATGTGTAATACATTTTTATCCACCTAAATTATGTTTATTTTTTTTAAAATATCCTAATGCCTATTTTAAAAAAAATACTTTTAATACTTACGTTACAGCAGCAACAGACAATCCAGATGGCCAAGGCTAGAATAACGACCGCTCCAATACCAACAAGATAGGGCAGATAGTCCATCAATACAAGTAGTGCCATGGTGAATGCTCTCGTTGATTTTATTTAATACAGTTATGTTGCAGTGTATCGAACACAAGCAATTTCAGATTGCAACAGTTAGGATTTGGTGTTTGTTTTAACCCGTGGTCCCTGTCACCATTAATTATATACCCCAGGCCATGACTTGAGAGCTATTTTTATCAGACTGGCCGTGGCGTGCTATTTTTAGAAAAGGGAAAACCTGATCGCTTGCAGAGAATTCTAAAGGAAAAAAAATTAGATTTAGATTCGACGATATCTTGAAATTAGGTTGTTAGGGGCAGTGCACTTTCACTTTCGGTATCATTTCATCAGAGCACTGGACTTAAAGTACGAGTGTTAAGTTTTTTTCTAGTTTTTTTTTTTTTTTTTTTTAAACCGTAAATGACGTAATGAAAGTAAGAAAATATGGAACATTGGAGAAGGTACACAATTATTCTTTGTCTTCACACTTTTGTGATCACTTTGCTGTCAGTAAGCAAATGAAATATTCAAAATTATAATATGTCATAGGCTCATAGGGTACATTCGTAAATGAAAATCACGCTATTGGAGGTGAAATCACCCACCCATTCTTTTCTGCCCCCCCACCCCAATCATAAAGAATTCCGTTACATTAGATAAACCTCATCACACATAGTCACAAACATGTG